TTTGTAGCTAAAATCTTTGGCTAAATACCTAACTACTCAAAATAATTTTTTTTCAAGTAACTTTTAACAATTAACATCATTTAACAACGCATTACTGCAAAGTTCGTAGATGTTAATCCTTCGTAATAGTACTTACATAATGAACATGTACAATTCGATTGAGATTAAATGTATTACAGAATTGTTTTTCTGTGATTTATAGTACTTTTTGTTAGANTTTGTAGCTAAAATCTTTGGCTAAATACCTAACTACTCAAAATAATTTTTTTTCAAGTAACTTTTAACAATTAACATCATTTAACAACGCATTACTGCAAAGTTCGTAGATGTTAATCCTTCGTAATAGTACTTACATAATGAACATGTACAATTCGATTGAGATTAAATGTATTACAGAATTGTTTTTCTGTGATTTATAGTACTTTTTGTTAGAGGTACTCACATCATTTGTTCTACTATAGGTGATCACGGAGAACATATGTACGCAGTCATAGTAGTTTGCAGTGACTCACTGTTATCATTCTATCGTTTTAACGTCTTCTGTGGGTTCCACATAGTTTGCCACATCCTAAAATATTTGAATAATGAAGCAAGCATCTAAAATTATTTTCTACATTTCTTGAAATTACAGTAACAAACCTGTACAGCAATTTGTAATGGCGTCAGTTCTCCAATGGAACAATCATTGCGGATGACGTTGGCTGGCAAAAGTCTTGGACAAGGTTTACCAGTGAACAGAATAAATAAAGTGTGAATACTTTTACGTTGTGTTAATTCCATGTAGCGATGTTGATATCCAGCCAAATGTCGTCGGTGTCGCGAGGTCGTAGGGAACCATCTTTCACACAAATTGCAGTATCTTCTATGCTTTATTGTGGCCTATATGTAACACATTAATTAAAGATTAGATGCTTTATGTTTCAAAACAAACTTAACAAATATACATTTACCTTTTCATGATAAGCTAGTTGTGTTATAATATCAGCTATAGTCATTTCACAGTCTTTATAGGAATGTTTACTGTTCTCCTCTACTTTGTCGATTGGAGTTATCACTTTATTTTTTACGTCCTTCGTATTTTCTATTACATTGTCACTTTCCTCCTGATTTGTAATAACAGGTGGTGATCTGGAACTGTCTCTATCCGAATTAGAATCATAATTTAATACAAATTCTGGCACTAATAATGGCATATTTTCCTCTTTTGTCTTTGTTTCACTCGAACTATCATTTTTTTTATTTTGAATATTATTTATCGTTTTGTTTTCTGTCTTCTCTTCAGTAAGCTTAGGTGTACCCTGTACGGTATCTAGATTGTTGGAAAGATTAAATGTATCAGTTTCTATATTCAAAGATCCTTTGTTTATTGTAATTTGACCTAATTTCTTGGTTGCTTTTAAAGAAATCGTGGTTGACTCAGGTACACTAGTATATCTACATGTAGAAGCTGTAGGACAATCGTAAGATGTTTCTTCTTGAGACTCTTTTAATGCTATTTGTTGTCCCATAGAAGAATCTTCATCTTGTTTGGAATGGTTTTCTTCAGCCTTTTCAATATCCATTTGCTGAATAGATTTATATTCCTTTGTTACTGTGCCTGTACATTTTGTATCCTCAGATTGGTAATATGATTTGTTTAGATTCTTTAAATTAAAACCTAAACCCTGTTTCTTTTCTGCTACCGTTTTGGGTCTTAGTACACATTTTTCCTTGTCCTCATTTACAGATTGAGTTAAACATTTCTTCAGTGTTTCCTTAGCAGCTAAGACTTCCTTAACTAATAGGTCATTGCAATAAAAATAATCATTTGATTCTTTTTCTGGACTTTGCACTTTGTTTTTACTAAAGGCACTTTGCGAAGAGCATTGAAAATCATTTAAAAATGTTTTTGCTAATCCTGTGTTTACACATTTGTTTTTAGAATGTGACGCATGTTCATATTTATCAATATTCACGTAGTTCAACATATTAATTTTCGGTGCAAGCACGTCTAAATGTTGTGCATTCCTGAGATCAATGAGATCTAATTCTAGTTCCAATTGAGTTGGTATAGCATCATCTAAGTGCAGTCTAGGTATACTCTCGAATTCACGATTCTTTGATTCATTGTCACTGCTATCAGGAGATGCTGGTAAAAGCTCTATAGTAGTTTGGCTTTCATCTGAAGAATCAACTTTAATAATAGAATTATCATTATCATCAAAGTTACGAGAACGCAAAATACCAGAAGGTAAGTATTTATCTTCTATTGTAGATATATTTGCGTTGGTTCCAAAGGATGAGTATTCTCTTTTCTCAACCAATGAATCATTGCCATCTTTCGTCAAATGATTTTCAGAAGATTCCTCTCTATCTATATCACTATCACTTTCGTCGTTGTAACTGTGATTCGCACTTTTAGTCGGAGACAATGACCTTTTCTTACCTTTTCTTTTTAAATTCTTATTTTCGCTATCGATTACTTTGAAATTGGATGCTTCACTAGCATTCGGTGGTTTAATTTTATTATGTTTTAAATCAATATCAGTAAAATCAGTTGATTTTATATCCATTTTCGTGTAGTCAGGATTAGAAAATCTTCTCTGCTTGCATTTAATAGGAGATAAATTGGATGCTGAATTAGATCTACATAGTTTAACTTTACTATTATGATCTGAACCTTTTTCATTAATATCATCTCTAACATGTAATTTATCATTTAACAAGGGTTCTGGTTGCTTTATATCTTTCGCAATGTGATCTAGAATTTTCAGTCTTTCTAACTTAACTTTTGGTTGCCACTTTGGTGCATCAACATTTGAACATTTTTTACTTTTACTAATTTCACATTTAAATTCTGTGCCAATTTGTGTTCTTTTTATTATAACTTTAGGAATTTTTTCAGTAATATATTGTGGATATTTTTTTCTAATTTCATCATCATTAAACTGTTTAACGTCTTCTTCTTTGATTTTCTTAGTTTTCTTGACAACTGTTCTTGAAACATTTGTATCATTTTCCTTGGTTTTTTCTAACGATAAAATCTTATCTTCGTCTTGCTTTTTTAACTTCAATTTTGGTATTTTTTCAGCTTCACTTGTTACGAACTCCTCTAGAATTTGTTCGTCGTCACTAGCTTCTATCTCCGAACTTCCTTCTGTTTCGCACTTTGTTGTGGAATATTTATTCTCTTGAATCTTAATTCTTTTTACATTAATTTCTGGAACGTTCTTTTTAGTAGCTTTACGTTTCATGTATATCTTCAAATCCTTGGAAGAAATATTGTCCAATTTTATTTTCACTTTTGGAACTTTGCTTTCATAATTCTTATATTTTAATGTATATGATTCAGAATCGCTATTATCCACATCCATGCTAGTATCATTATGCTCTGACAAAAAACTCTGAGATATTTCAAATTTATTTTTTTCTAAGATTTCAGCAATAGGTGTTGTCGAACGTGATTTGCTTTTCATGATTATCATTTTTGGTATTTTTGGCCGCAAATCAGGCAACAGCTTTGTATTATATTTATCAGACGGATTTTCGGGTTGTGTAGAATCCAATAAGTATTCTGTTTTTGAAATTAAAGCATCAGTTTTCTTTATGACTAGTTTGGGTATAATTTTTATATCTGTGCTATTCTGAAATAAATCAGTTTCCAAGTTACTACTGGAATTAAAAGCAGTTAACTGACGTTCTTCTTCTTTTTGTTCATTCTCCTCAGTGTGTGATTTCTTTTCCACACACGTTTTAGGTGGAGAGTTCATTGTTGCACTATACATTTTCAAATGAAGAATTTCCTCTTCTACAGAAGATTTTCGAATAAGATTAGGATCAATAGCATCTGAATGGTCTTCTGAATTATTAAAAGATACTATTGCATTTTCTGTTACCATATCTTTTACGTTTGGCAGTGTAACATCTATGGCATTTTCCGGTGATGTTACCGATTTGTTAATGGTATAATCTTCATCAACATGAATAGCAGTTTCTGAAAAGTCTGTTAATTCAATACATTGTTTTGCTGTCAGATTATCTACTTCTGTAAGATCAGTATTCACAGTCTCATTATTTTTAACTACTTCAACAGAATATTTTAAACTTTGTGGATTATTTGTTGTAACCGTTTGTGTCATGTGAGATTCGTATTCCTCTTGTTTCGTACAAATAACATTACTTACTCCTGAAATATCGTTTTGTGAGTCATCTCTCTCATCTTCCAAAGATGTAATACTTTCTTCTGCATTCTCACTTGTATTTTCTACATGCTCTTCATTTGTATTCAAGGTTTCTACCAATTCAATATTTTTATCAAAATCTGCTTTACTTTTTACAAGCACTTCATCATTTATTTCTTTGCTTCCGCTCTTAGGCAATACAACTATCGCTTCAGTTGATGTCTCCTTAGATATTTCAGAAACTAAAATATTTTCTGGCATTTCAGTTGATGCATGATATTCAGTTTTACCAGTTTCACACGTCGAATTTTCATCTTGTTTAGTTCCTAAGATCGTACTTGTTTCAGTATGATCCTCAAAATTATCTTGACATTTTAAAACAGGATTTTGACCATTCTTTTCATTCATAACGTTTTCCAGTTGTTGTTCTTTAACATCAACGGTACTTTCTAAAGTATATACTTTGTCATTTTCTTTCTCTTTAAAAATGAAAGAATTTTGTAATTGATCATCTTTATTTAGTAAGCATACTTCATCATTTTTTATATTTGTTTCTGCTCTAACAACGTTATTTATATTTGTGTTATCAGCTTTGTCAATTTCTGTGTTTATACACTCTCCATCTAGTTTGTTATCTTCATCTCGCTGAGAATTTCTTGAAATACAATTTATGTTGTCTTTATCATTCATAGTTTCAATGCATTTGTTGCTATCAAGAAAATTATGTTGAAGCAACTGTGTTTCTTTGGAAGGTGCGCCATCAATCTTGCATGAACATGCATCAAATGTTACACTTTCTTTGTGTTTGTTTTCAGACTCTGTCAACACTTCATGTTTATGTGATTTGGAAACACCTGCAACTGTTTTATTTTCTGTAATGTTACTCTTTTTGAACTCATTTACATCAATGATATTCTCATTGTGACCTACAACTTCTTCATCCGAATCACTACTGCTACATACTCTTTCTATTCTGAAACGATCGGACCAAACAGCATTATTATTTTTAATGCTGTGCATGTAATCCTTGTACTTAACATGATGTTTACCACAGAAATCATCCATATAATCTCTCTTCCTTTGATAGAGATATTTGGTATCCTTATACTCGTATTTGTTTTGATCGCTGAAACCATGATGTCGTTTCTTTTTATAGAACTTACGAAACTTCGAATTGTAGTAGTTGTTCCAGGTATCGATATAATGAGATTTTCGAGTAGAACAACCTGTCTCATGTCTACGAGCTTCCATCATCAATTCATGATGTGTAAACCTTCCGTTAGGGCTATAAGATATTTTTCCATCTTTGGTAGTGTATACAGGAACTGTATGCAAATCCTCCATTTTATCTATGTTTGAAAAAATAGGATTTATGTACCCACTGGTACTTTGGAACATGTCACAGTCTTCAAAAATGTGATCTATCTTTGGCTTCTTCCACATTCTCATATAATTATCATCTAACTCGCCAGTTTTTACTCCTACATTTTTTTTATACTCCAGCTTGTTCAAATCGAAATCTAGAGCATTCAAAGAGCTCAATGATTTTGAATTTAATTCCATAAAATTTATATTCGATAGTTTCTTTGAATCTTTTAACATATGAGATAGGTCATCTAACTTTGTTTCATCACTCTTTTTAAATGCCTCTGTTATAGTTTGAGAAGAATTTTCTGCAAAACTAGAACATTGATTTTGTGTTTTAACTGTATGATCACCTTCTGTATTCATTGTACTATCATCTTCTTCAAACTTATCATTTGTCTTAGTTAACATCTTATTATTTGCATCAACTATGGCAGTGTCAGATATTGCACTTTTTGTCTTGGTTGTATCAACATTAAAAGAACAATTAATATTCTCCTTTACATTTGCATTCAGTGTATCCTTACATGTTAAATTATCCTGTAATAATTTAGTAACAGTTTGATTCTCTGAAGTCAAAGTTTCTTTAGAAGTAATAAATGAAAAAGTATCATCTCTTACCTCTAATGAATTTCTTCTACTGTTTTTCTGAGTGGTATTTGCATTTGTATCCATAACTGATGTTGCTGCATCATTTGTAATTTTATTCTTTTCACTTAATGTAGTATCTCCAATCGCAGGAGACTTTTCAATTATTTTATTAACTTTATCAAAATTACCATATACTATTTCTTGCTCGGTGGATAGTATTCGACAATGACTTTCCAACATATTGCTACGAGACGAATCATCAATTTCATATAGAAGCCGTTTATTCTGCTCGTTTCCTTGTAAATTTCTTTCTGCGCAGGAAACATTTATTTCAATTTTTATGCTTTCCAAAGTATCTTTTATGTGTTCTTGTCCCTTTTCTCCTAATATCAATTCTTTTCCGAGGTCATTGTCTTTAAATTTTAAATTTACATTTGTAACTTGAATTCCAAACTCAGGATTAGCATTCTTCACAAAACTTTTTCTAAATTTAAGCCTTGAACTGTCCTCTGGTACAGTCAAATCATCTGAATTTTGCTCTAAAGATATTCCTCTATCTTCATTATCATCCTCTTTCTGCAATCTTTCTTCCACATTCTTGTCTTGATGTAGTTTATCTTTGTTTCTATTATATTCATTTAATGAATGTGCTTCTCCCGTAGTACATTTAATGTCTCCATCTGTGATATCGAGATCTTTCTGTACTACTTCAGACTTCTTATAATTTTGAGAATATTTCTTCATTTTCGTCTCTACTGAAAGCTCTTTGGTACTGTCTGTTTTTAATTGAAGTTCGTGTGGGTTGTCGCAACATACGTTCATACTTTTTCCTGTAATGCCGTGTGATTTCTTATCGCTTAAAATAACGGTATCTTTTATCACAGCAATAGAATAATTTTTGTATTGAGAAGTCATATGGCACACAGATTGTTCATCATCTTGAGACAAGATCAAACCATCTCTAACAGTTTGCTTCATATTTGAATGTTTTGATTGTATTAAACGTTCCACTTCCTTCTTCTGTGCTTTCATTAAGTTCTCGCAATTCGTATTTCTATCTATACATTTATCCACACAATTTACACTTTCCTTTATCATCTTTCTTGAATCTAAATCACCTTCTGAAAGCAGTGGATTGTTAGTGGTCACAGACACATTTAAATCTTTTATCTTTTGCTGATTAGACAGATCTTCTTCATGTTTGGATGATTGAGCTTCATTGTCAAACCCTGTCGGATTTACGAAATTTATATTGGAATCAGTTGAAATCACAGCATGCGCAGCCTTATTTGTATCCATTACTGAGTTACTAGTTTGAATTGCAGATTTCACAGAATCCATTAATTTTTTTTTCTTTTTTGGTTTTCCTTCGAGTATGCAGTTTGAAGATTCATACTCTATATTCTTTTCACTATCTATTGCCTCCTGTCGAACCTCCAATTCATATGCAGTTGATGTTAATGTTTCGCACGTATCCAAAACTCTTATTTCATGTTCTTTGTCTCCTGTTAAGAACACCTTTTTCCTTCTTATTCCAAGATTCTTTACTTGTTTATCTTTCGATAATTCTGCAGATTTTACTTTAGAATTGTCAGCTGAAAAATCAAAGTTATTAATAGTTGTATCTTGTTCATGAGTACTGCTAATGTTACTTTTGTAACTAATTTTGTCCTCATTGTTCAGCTGACCATATGGATCCATATTAATTGGAGATTGCGTGAAACTAATCACTGGACTGTTTTGCATTACTTCTATTGGATTTGTGGATATAGATATAGACAAATCTTCCATGTTTTGTGAAGATTCTTCGCTATCAGAATGAATAGGAGTATTCAAGGTTGTGGAAATTGGTGTACACTCAGAAGTTGGGAGATCTGGTAAGCTTATGTCGTCAGGATTATGTGATTCTTCACTGGCGAAACTGCTCTGTTTTTTCAATTCTAGATTGTCAGCAACATCCAAATTACTCTTTACTGAAGGTGACAAAATTCTTAGTTCTTGATTATTTATTGAAACAGTGACTGTCTGAATTGTTTCAGAAATAGTAGCATCCTCCACATTACTGTCCTTGATTACATCATCATACTTTGTAGATAATAAACGAGTTTCATCTTTGTCATGCTGTTCAGTGGTCTTCAGAATTATCCCTTCCCTTTTATTATCAGCCGCTTCTCTGAATAGTGATATCGTACTTTGCTTCTCTAAGGTCTCTATTACTTGATCATTGGATGTGCCCAAAATGCTGCTTATTTCTAAGTTATCTACTATGTGTATGGTAGGTATTTCATCAGGACCATTACTTATACAATGTATTATACTCCCTGGCTTTACCACACCTTCTTCTACCGTCCGTGTAGAAGTGTCGATGATATCAGTAGTGGCTTCCGAAGACGAATATGAGATCGTTAAACAATCTTGTGTTGCTACATTTTCTTCAGCCTCTTTGTCATTATCCACTGCAGTATCACTCGAAGGAAAACTGTTTCTTCTAGAAATGTCTAAATTTTGTGGTTTTTCTGAAGAAAGATCCACATTCTCATAGCTCACAACTACAACTGAAGTTGTTTTGCTTGAATCTGCAGCTGGCAAATTTGATGTATTTTCTTCGTCGTCCGTTTCATCCCAGTTAGCTAGAAACTGCCGAACATCGAGTTCTGGTTTATTAGCAAATTCTTTAGAAGCTTTATGCTGCATCATTGTTTTGTTGCTATTGTCAGTGTTTAAAGTATTGAAACTATGACTGTCGCTTGTTTGTACTTTTAATTGATTTTGATTGAAGTCCTTCTGCATTAAAAATTGATCTTGTTTTTGAAAGCTCCCTATACACGAGGAAGGAACATTTTCATTTTGTGTAGGCATCATTAAGTGTTCCGGTTGCTGTGTTTGTTGACGTTTCTCATTGGCTACAGAAATAGCCTGATCTTTAATCTGTTTTTCCATAGCCCCTGATGATTGTTCTCCAGGTGGTGCATGTGGCAATTTAGGAATACCATCTGACAAATAATTAGAATTGATCAACATACCATTTTGATCAAACTGTAAATTAATTGGCGGAACTGCGGTGTTAACTGGTGTTGTTACCCGCGAAGCTTGAACCGGATTTTGATAATTAGCTGACTGCTGTAACTTCACTAGCTGCCTATATCTCATAATGCACTCTTTGTACTTTGGATGCGATTGATATCCAGGTATTCTACTTAATTCTCTAAGATGGTTTTCCATTGAAAATTTTTGCATTGCTATTTTATGTTGGTACGTTTGTTGTTGAGGAGGTGAATTCTGTACAAAAGTACCTGCTAGTCTATTAGCAATTGCATTATTATCAACACTTTCTTGACACTCATGAGATACTTCTGTTGGGATATTTCTTGCAAACTGTGAATTGTAATAAGCATTTTGTGGAGACGATACCATATTCTCACCAATATTTAAAGTAGGCACTGCTTTAGGTAACATATTTCCATTTTGATATTGATACTGTTTATTGTTGTACTTTTGCTGAGGCATAAAGTTCTGTTCCGAATGCTTCATCATTGCTGAATTCGGAATACTCATATTATTTGTCTTTGGATGTTCTTTCATTGGATATGGAAACTTTTGATGCTCTGTTGAGTAATTGTAATTTTGCATAGGGTAATTTGGGTACATTCCTGAAGATGTTGAATAATTTCTATGTAATAAGTGGTCTTTATGATACTTGTAATCGGTGAAGTTTCTTCTGTGATCTACAACAGGTGCATTGGGAACTACAGAACCCATTGCTTCCTTACCTACTAGATTGTCTTTCCTAAAGTTACAATTATTTCCAAAATGTCTGTTCTCCATTTGGTAGTTGGGTGGATGTACATTGTCCCTGTACGATGCATTACTTTGATAGGATCCAAATTGTTGATAATTAATATTAGGATCTGAATTGCAGCAAAGGCCCTTGCAAGGTACATATGGTGGAGGCCCAGGTTTCCCAGCATGTACCGAATTTATATTATTATTTCTTGGTCCCATAGTTGCAGGTCCAGAACCTGATTCAGGCGCATATCCAGATACAGATCCATGTCTTGGACCAGATCCATATATAGGACTAGCTGCAGGTCCGTTTCCAGTGCCAGGACTAGTTCCCGAGTTAGTCCGAGATCCAAGTCCAGATATAGGCCCAGAAGTATTTAAGTTACAACTTGGCCCATTTAGGAGACCCATAGGCCCAGTGAAAGGCACCTGATTACTTCTGTATCCAAGATCATCATTTATATTTGCAATTGCAGTATTCCTAGGATCCACAGAAGAATTTAAGTTGTCCAGCATAGGATTTCTTGTATTCGGGGTGGTGTAATGGCTAATGCAATTTTGCATTTGTGCCATAGATGCAAGAGGACTGTTGTTAGAAATATTTGCTCCACTTGAGACATTATTGTACGATTGATAATTTCTTGGATTATAGTTAGTATCATTTTGATGTTTGCTAAGACCCTCAGAACTAAGACTAAGCGCATTCAATGTCGGTGGACTAACACCAGGAATGAATGCCAAATGACCAGAATTCACATTTTGTGTAGGAGCTGTAACTTCATTTGTTTGCGAGGCATTAAACTGATGCCAATCTGGCATGTTTCCATTGTAGTTCATTGTACATTGTTTGACTACAGGTTTCGTATATTTATCTTAATCCCTTTATTCACAGACAGGATTGCACTAAGCAGGAGTAGACCTATAAAAAGATAAGACAACATTAGCTTTTGAAATATGGAATCTCAAAGTGTTTTAGATATTCAAATTTATTAATATAATTCATTTATGTTTTCAGCCATATGTAATCTTCCATGTTTCAATACAGCTCATAAAATTTCAATAAGATTGCGGAATATTGTGATTTTACTTTAATTTCAAATTATGAATTCAATATAAAAAAATATATATATATGTATATACATAATTAACAATATTAAGCATTCTCTCAATCTTATATCATTTAAATAACTGCTAGAATTTACTGTTAAAAGTAGAATTCAAAATACTGCATTTAAAAATTTGACTCCAGTCTGCTTAATTTCTGTTGTAAGGTACAGATTTGATTGTTTAGAAATTATCTTCGAACACTTTTCCTCATCTTTTATCGTAAAATATTACTTGCTCACAAAACAGTAGAATCGGAAGCACATATTTTTCACACGACACACCTGTCATTATAAATGTACCTCACAATTCGGACCTTGAAGGTGCAAAGGTTGACAGAGTTCACATATTTTAGTGAAACAATCGCACTAACATAGGGTTCCGTGATACATAAATGGAAAAACTAATACATGTAAGGAGTCATGACCACAAAATGTACAGATTTGTATCATTTACATAATCCGTTGAACGAATATTACGAAAATTAAGGCAAATCTTACCTGCACGTTAATGCAATTCACAATATACACGCCATATTGGACACGAGTACTAGACAGATATCAGATCACTCGCCCAACTTGCCTTCAGGAACCAGGTAGCAGCCGTAGGTTCCATTTTAATATACAATGTATGTATGTATATTGTGGTCGATCGTATCGACTAACTTACATTGTATGTTTTTCTCGTTTCTTGGGGAAAACTTCGATTGTTTACTGGTGCCTATCTACACTATTGAAAATTCCCTATCCACTTTGGTGAAATACAACATTGTGAACATATGTACACATACCATTGAATGTTGCGATATTAGATAGAATTCTCATCATAATTATGGACTCTTGTGTCGCGGAGTGAAGTGAATACATAACTACATACATACATACTTTGTTGTTGCAATATATATATATTATATATTTTTGTGCATACAGAAATTTATCTAAATATAGCCAAGAAAAATCTTTCATTATTCCCGCGGTGGTCTATACTGTACCGGCCATACATGTGTTTATCTTGTTCCTCTGTTGCATACTGGTTTCGAAGCTTTTGTTTTCTTTCGTAGTGTACGATGAGTAACGTGCGAAAGAACGTTGACATGCCGTTTCAATTTCACGACGTTCAGGTAAAATTCCGAAACAAAACATAGATATTTTACTAACCGAATGATATATTCGGTATTCACTTATATTTAGAAAAATTCGAGAGTTATTCAGTTTCTTTTTGAGATTGTACTGTATTATGACAGTTTCGATTAACTTGGTTATTTTGCTGTTTACTACTTGATTACCCATTGCCAATGTAATGATATTGAGACTTTGAAGTATTAGAATAGCACTAATGTTTCTGAAATGATAAATAATTCATCTGATATTGTTTTGTGTATTTAGCAAAATGTGGTGGAGCCAATGCAAGTTGATGCTCCTACAGAAGACAATGATAATGCAGAACAGGAACCATATATTGTGGAAAATCCGACACTGGTACTTATACACTAATAAACTTAAATGATGTAAAAAAAATGACAAGTGTCATACATGTTTTATCTTATTCTGCCTATAGGATTTGGAAGTATACGCTAATAGCTACACAGGCCTCGCCAAATTATATAGACTCATGTACATAGCTGAACATTGTCCCATGTTAAGGGTAGAAGCATTGAAAATGGCTATCTCTTACGTGATGACAACATATAATGTTTCTTTATACGTGATATTACACAAAAGACTAGTACAAGTTGTAGGTTCTTCTGGATTACCAGATGTTGCTGCTCAATCAACATCTCAGGATATGTTGACTTTAGACCAAGCATGGGTTGAATCTCGATCAAAAAAGGCTGCTTTAAAATTAGAAAAATTTGATACAGATTTAAAAAACTACAGAAGTAATTCAATTAAAGAAAGTATCAGACGGGGCCATGATGATCTGGGAGATCATTATCTAGATTGTGGAGATCTTGTTCACGCCTTAAAATGTTACTCCAGAGCAAGAGATTACTGTACTAGTGGCAAACATGTTGTAAACATGTGTTTAAACGTTATCAAGGTTTCTGTTTACTTGCAAAATTGGACACATGTACTGAGTTATGTTACAAAGGCTGAAAGTACATCGGATGGCTCTGATGTTCATGGTAAAGATAATAATCAGTCTATAGTTACAAAATTAAAAGTTGCAGCTGGTTTAGCAGAACTAGCAACGAGGAGATTCAAACTGGCTGCAAAACATTTCCTACAAGCATCGCTAGATCACTGTGATTGTCCAGAATTACTCTCCCCTGGAAATGTTGCCTTGTATGGAGGTCTTTGTGCTTTAGCTACGTTTGATAGGCACGAGTTACAGAAGCAAGTCATTTTCAGTGGTTCCTTTAAACTATTCCTGGAATTAGAACCACAATTAAGAGATATTATTTTTACATTTTACGAATCGAAGTATGCATCATGCTTGAAGTTATTGGATGAAATTAAGGATAATATACTCTTGGATATGTATATAGCGCCACATGTAAATGTACTGTACACGCAAATACGAAATAGAGCACTAATACAATACTTTAGCCCGTATTTAAGTGCAGATATGAGACGTATGGCCACTGCTTTTAATAGAACAGTTTCAGAACTTGAAGATGAGCTCATGCAATTAATTCTTGATGGACAAATTCAAGCTCGTATAGATTCTCATAATAAGGTAATTACTATTAATAATCATCAATCACTTAATAAACTTAATGTTTTTGCCCACGTATTTGCAGATTTTATATGCAAAAGACGTTGATCAGCGTAGTACTACGTTTGAGAAGTCAATAAGTGCTGGCAAAGGGTATCTGAGATGTACACGCATGTTAATTTTAAGGGCAGCTATGTTGAGACAACAAATACATGTTAAAGTATTGATATAATTTTCTTATATATGATGCGCTGTTTGTAACGGTGTATAATACATTTTTTGAATATTTTTGCAGAGCCTTCAACGTGATAGTACTCAAGGAGGGGAGATGTCTGTTACTTGGAAGCAGTAGTTTAATGGTAAGAAATTGATTTGTGATTTATGCGAATATTTTGATTAATAAATATAATTATTCAAATAAGCTGCCATGGTCAGTAAGATACAAAAAAAGTACTTCAATATCATATCGAACATGTTATTAATATATGTAAATTGCTGATACCGAATTTGACTTTCAATAAATTGCATAACATGTATGTACCATAATTTCAGAAAGATAGAAAATTAGTATTTTTAAAACTACTAGAGCAAATTTGAACAAACCTTTGATAACATACAATGTATGCTAGCGCCAATAAAAGTATAATTTGTTTTTCATGCATGTGTGTGCTTATTTTTT